TACATAGATATTAAAAAAAAAATCTTATAAGTCTCCAACTCTTGATTTTGGCTCAGGTCATGACTTCACAGTTCATGAGTTTGAGCACCACATTGGGCTCTGTGCTGAGAGTACGGAGCCTACTTGGGATTCTCTTTCTCACTCTCTTTTTCTCTCTCAAAAATAAATAAACATTAAAAAAAATATTAAACTTAATTCAGTAGTTTCTTGTAAGTAATAATATTGGTATTGCTCTCTTGAAATTTTTGAATATTGGAAAATAAAGTTAATAAATACTATGCTAAATATTAAAAATAAATAATACGTTAATAATATTAGGAACCAAGATATTAAGTGTAAGTGAAAGAAGACAGAAGTTAGGTAAAATCCCTATAATAGTTATATTTGATTTAGAAATAGCAACTGATCTCATGTTTTTTATAGTTTTATTTTTTAAATGATTCAAAAACTGTGATAACTTAGGAAACTTTATTTCAAATATTTAGTTATCTTATAGAACTTATGTCCTATAATTACATTGTTTTATATAACATTTACTTTTTCTCCTCATTAATCAGCACTGAAGCAATTTTGACTACATATAATCTATGCTATGAATTGTATTCTAAAATCACCAATAATAGTAAAAACAACACTGTTTTTACTTTAAAACATGTACTTCCTGATTTCTAAAACTTGTATTTTTTAGCAATGCTTACTGAAAAGGTCTAGAAGCAGTGATACTCCAGTTATAGTTAGCATTCCTAACCCTTCAGATTTTGGGTTTAATATGCCCATTTTCATGGAAAGATACCAGTGTCTTGTGGAGAATAGCTGCTTCCAGGTCTGGAGTAGGAAAAATGCATATGAATCTGGGACAGCTTGTTAGTCCTGCAAGGAAGAAAGCATTCAAACACTATGGCATCATGTCCAGAGAGTACAGAAACGATCGTGAAGGGTACCCAAGGGCCATATTTGGGACAATTTGAGAATCGAAAAACAAATTAAAAAAAACCCTAAATTGACATAAAAAGAACACAGGAGGCTTCTGGCTCTGGTGACAATACAACAGCTAGTATTGTACTTCATCACCAGCTGCAAACAACTACAGTACCTGGATCCACCTCCTTCAGGTCACTTCACGGCAGCTACCCTGTAGACTCAGAACCATGCTGCATACCATCCTCTTCACCAAATTGCTCAACTAAGACCAAGTCCTCACTGGACTGCTCAGGGTTCCAGACCTCATCCATTCCAAAATATGCCTGGTGCTATCTGCCCAGCTGTTCCTAGACTACCATTTAATATTGAGCCTAGCTCCTTTATAGGTTCCACAAGTCATGTCAATGGTGTGTTGGTAACAGCACAGACAGTGGGCCCAACAACCTCAGCAGCTGCTGCTCTAGCTATTCCTGCTGTCAGTACTCTTCCACAGTACAAATATGCTGGGGAGTTTGCTATCCTCAACATCTTAATGTAAAGCCACAAGTTACTATGTAGCAGCCTGCTGTTAATGTACAAGGTCAGGAGCCTTTGACTACTTCCATGCTGGCATCTGCACCACCTCAAGTGCAAAAGCAAATTGGGATGAATGGCTGATTCCTTTTATTCAAGCCATGCACCCTACTGTTGCTGATAAAAATCACTGATGTGTTGTTGGAGACTGATAATTCAGAACCTCTTCATAGCCTTGAATCTCCAGAGTCTCTCTGTTCTAAGGTTGGTAAAGTGTTGCTGTACCACAAGCCTACCAAGCTAAAAAGGCTGCCCAGGAAGCAATTAACAATGTCATTGTAGTCCCAACTCTTTAAAATTGATCAGGGACCATGAAGAGAAACTCATGTTTCACCAAAGAAAATTATCTAAGCACCAAAAAGCTTAACTATCATGGGGAAATAACTGCTAAATGTAAAATAAATGCAAAAGAGGAAAAGAAACTATGAGCCTTATGTACTGATCAAATGCCAGGTGTAGCAAACATAATGCTGGTTCTAGATTACTTCCTGATTCAAACACACACACACACACACACACACACACAAACACACACACACACACACAATCTAAAAACTGGTGTTTTATAGATCCTGAGAAAAACAGTTTTCAGCAAAGTACAAAAATTTAAAGCATTTCTTTAATTTTATAATTCTTTACTTTGGAATAGCTCAGAATGTCATTTCAGTTTTAAATAAGAGAAATAATATCTGAACAAGGAAATGTACTTTGGATTACAAAACTCTTCCTTTAATAAAAATTTCTTAAACAGTAAAAAATATTAATAAGTAAACAAGGACATACTTGATAAGTTTATAAGGAACAATATTCTTGTATTTACTTGTTTAAATACTATAAACACTAGGATATTGTACACATGGTTAACTGGTTGTAATTTTATTTTTTATTTGAGAGAGAGAGAGAGCATGTGCCAGGAGAGGGAAGAGGAAGAGAGAGAATCTTTTTTATTTTTATTTTTTTTACATTTGTTTATTTTTGAGAGACAGAGAGAGACAGAGTATGAGCAGAGGGGCAGAGAGAGAGGGAGACACAGAATCAAAAGCAGGCTCCAGGCTCCAAGCTGTCAGCACAGAGCCTGACATGGGCCTCAAACCCATGAACTGTGACATCAGGACCTGAACCAAAGTCGGACGCTCAACTGACTGAGCCACCCAGGTGCCCCTTGGAAGAGAGAGAATTTTAAGCAGGCTGCACTCTCAGTATGGAGCCCGATGTGGGGCTTGATCTCTTGACCCTGGGATCATGACCTGAGCTGAAATCAAGAGTTGGTTGCTCAACCAACTGAATCACCCAGGTGCTCCCAGTTGTAATTTTAAAATGACATTAATGAAGTTAGTTTTTACACACAGAAACTTTTAAATTCAAATTAAGTCTGAATGCCTGCAATACTACCTTAAAATGTAGAATGTTTTGGTCTAATGGACATATAAATATTAAATTTAATACTTAAGAAAAAAAATCTATAAATCACAAAAATGATAGTTTTCTTAATTAAAAAAACCCCATAGTTCGTCATTCTGAAAATGATTTATTGTACCTTTCTCTTTTATTAAGATCAACTTCCTATTTTAAAATCTAATTATCTTATAAATGTAAAATACTATCTTGTGAATATAAATATATTTTCATTTACTTACTGGTAAAATGATATGTCCTTATGATTTAAACATTAGTGATAACATTGCAGAAGTTTAGAATTTTAAATTTTTAGAATTTTAGTATTGGAATTTAGTTGAAAATGAGGCACAAAGTCTATGCTGAGTTGTAAAAATGTACAAGAAAATGCTACTAGAATAGTAGTTATTTTATCTCCTCCCAGAGTTATCTAGGTGTGTTTGAAATTTTGACAGTTTTAGTGTTCCATTTTGTGAAAGGTCCCAGTTTTTATTTTTTTTTTTAAGTAATTGCTACACTTCACGTTGGGCTGTACCTCATGTCCCTGAGATCAAGAGTTACATATTCCTCTTCCTTTCCGCACCCCAAAGGTCCCAGTCTTAATAGGAATAAATGCATAGTTTTGGTTGCCTTATAGTTGCTTCACTTTGCAAATTTATGTGTAAATTTCACATTCTGTGCTATTTTAATACCTTACTTATTATATAGAAGAGGGAAGAGAGAAACCAAGTAATGACTAGTTCCTGCATTTGGTTTTTGCCAAAGAAGTCTGAATGATTTCTAAGAAGGCTCCACTAAGGCTATTTGAGAAGATTTTACATGACCCTTCCAACTTTAAAATAAAGAAACTTGAAATAAACTGAAACTGCATTTTGCTTGTGATGAGTTCTATATAAGCATAGCTGACTTCATCAGACAGAATTGAAAGGAGATTCTGTATTACTAAGGAAAAGAAAATCTCACATGGACAAGTCTATCAGTCTTTCATTTCTGTAGGCTGACTTTAATCCTTATTTTATTCTAGTTGAAAAATCATGGTTTATCTCCATTTGTGATTTAATTTTATACCTGTAAATAAATACTACAATATTTCATTTAAAAACTATTAAGAGGTGCCTGGGTGGCTCAGTCGGTTAGGCGTCCGACTCCCGCTCAGGTCATGATCTCACAGTTTGTGGCTTGAGCCCCGCGTCGGGCTCTGTGCTGACAGCTTGGAGCCTGGAGCCTGCTTCAAATTCTGTGTCTTCCTCTCTCTCTGCTCCTCCCCCACTCATGCTCTGTCTCTCTTTCTCCTTCAAAAATAAACAAAAACATTACAAAAATTTAAAACCAATTAAATTTGCAGGGCGCTTGGGTGGCTCAGTTAGTTAAGTGCCTGACTCTTGATTTCAGCTCAGGTCAGGATCTCACAGTTTGTGGGTTGCATGGGGCTCTGCCCTGACAGTGAAGAGGCTGCTTGAGATTCTCTCTCTTCTCTCTCTGCACCTCCTCTCTCAAAATAAATAAACTTAAAAAAAGAAAAAAGATTAAAAAAAAAAACTATTAAACTTGTCATTTTAAGGATACTGCAGAAGTAATATAAATTTAATTTTTTTTTTTTTTACTTAATATATCACTTATTCAGATAGTCACTAAAAACAGAATATAGAATACATATTGTTGACCCACTTAAAGTTGGTAGATTTATTCCTGGCATTTTCCTTTCCTGGTGATCTTTTTAGTGAATGAATTACTAAACTGACGATAAGTTCTACTTCTGTTTGGAAGCTTAGATTCTTACCTTTCTGTCATTAGGTTCATTTAATTTTTTATTGTATTTAGTTTGTAATATAACAGCAGATTCAGCCTGATGGATTGCTTTAAATTTTCCTAGAGTATTTACAGATTTATTTTGTTCTTGAAATATATAAATACTAAGAGGTCATTCTATTTACATTGCTTTTATTAAATTAATCTTGGAATAAAAAATCATAGGAAAGCTCTGTAATGAAATTACACATTTATTAAATCCTTGGTTCTATGTACAATCTCCACACACTTGTATGTTTTAACTTTTCTCTCATGTAAGATAATTTATTAAAAGAAGCAGGCAGTGATGGCAAATAAACTTTTTAATGAAGATCTAATTTTGTCAATTTCACATTGATTTTGCTTGGATCATGGCGTGCAAGTACTTTGGGACCCAGTATGCCAATAATTAGAGCTCCATTTGGAGCTGTGATCAAGATGGCTAAAAATGCTATTGTCATCACATCCCTTGAATATGGTTCCAAGTGGGGTGCGCTGATGCTTGCTGTTTCTAGAGCCAGGGGACCTAATACAGCCTGCATTTAGAGGGCAAAAAGATGAGGCATAAAGAAAAATGTTAAAATAGTTATTATATGATAAAAGTTAATGGTTCTGTTAAAACAAACAAAACCTAGTGGTAGGCTATCAGAAAAGAGATGAGCCTTAAAGTGCTGAGGAATTTTCATGAATTACTCATCAATTTTATGTTCTCCCTAGTAAATATATCTGGACGAAAAGTGAAATAGTGACAAATCAGCGTGCAGACATTTGGGGGCTGGTTTTGTATTCTTATTATCTCAGCTTTCCCATTTAAGTATCTTTTTTGAGTGCTCACATTACTCGCAGAACCTCAGGAGTTTTAAACGAAGCAGGGTTTTGCTTATTTGCCTTTATCATGGATGATTAGTTTCTTGGCTGTAACAAGACAACACAAAAAACTAAAGTTTCTTATGGTTCTCTAGGATTTTGTTGCTTGTCTTCTCCTTGTTCTTCCTACTTGGGAGGCAGTGTGTATTGTAAAACTGACAAGAGGTGTGGAATCTACAAAGTGGGCACTGAGAGATTAGGAAGTAAGTTGCCTAATGTTATAGGCAAGTAACATGGTATTCAAAACAGCCAGTCTTGCCCCATGGACCTGCTTTTTTAATCATGACACAGAAAATTTTGTTGTATGAAAATTCACAACCTTCTGTGGTGGAGTAACAATGGAAAAAAGAATCTCTGGAAATCAAGACATTATGCTGTCACGTTAAAAAGTCTAACAATAAGTAGCAACATCTTTGAGTAGGAACAGAATATCATTAAATCAGAGGGCAAAACTACAAGGTCTCCCTTTTCATTCATTCATTCACCCTTTCATTCATTCACTCACTCATCATTCATTCTTGTAGATAAGTAATGCTTACGGTATACCTCCTGCATGCCAGGCACTGTGTTAAGGGCTGGGGAAAATATAATGGAAGGAAACCAGACACTATTCCTTGTCTTTCCCAGATAGTCTGGTGGGGAGATTTAGTCATTAATTAAAACCATACAAATTAAATGCATAATTAAAAATAATATATGTGCATCCATGTATGGTGGAGTGGGTGGCAGGGGTAGGAAAGATATATTTTTAAAAGAATGTGTTTCTACTTTAAAGTTGTAACAGTTAGCTCTACAATATTCAGCAAAATGTAAACATTCCAGTATTCAGATATATTCTTAGTTTATATTTTGGGAACATAGGGAAAAAATGTTTCAGAAGTTTAGGAAGTATTTGTCATTAAAAGTATACTTTTTAACTTCAGAAGAATTGCTTTTAAAACAGATTTTAAAATATTACATCATTTTCAACAAGTAGTTGTGATCAATGAAGCTTTTTAAAAGTAAGGCTAGTAGCCCACATTTTGTGATTAAAGTAACATTATTCATTTAGGATTAAAAAGTCATAAACATTAAAAATTATTAAAATGGCTTAATATGTTCTTACCTGGACTGTAGCTTTGGGGATCCACGATAAAGCAATAAATATTTTCTCCTTAAAACTAAAACCAGCAAAACACATCAATAAAAAAGTACAAGAAATTCGAACCAATAATGCCAAACTCATGGTAACAACACAAATGCCTACAACAAATAAAAACAAACATAAATAATAAAATATTTGGGAAGAAATGGTTCTTTATACCTAGAGATATGATTTGCAGAAGTACTGAAAGCATTTTAAGACTATTGCCTCTTTATGTCTTCATTTTCTTAAGTTAAAATAATAATCATAAAAAATAGGGGCGCCTGGGTGGCGCAGTCGGTTAAGCATCCGACTTCAGCCAGGTCACGATCTCGCGGTCCGTGAGTTCGAGCCCCGCGTCAGGCTCTGGGCTGATGGCTCAGAGCCTGGAGCCTGTTTCTGATTCTGTGTCTTCCTCTCTCTCTGCCCCTCCCCCGTTCATGCTCTGTCTCTCTCTGTCCCAAAAATAAATAAACGTTGAAAAAAAAAATTAAAAAAAAAATAATCATAAAAAATAAAAATATGATTGAAGCTTCTATGTAAAGTGCAAGAGATGATCTTGCCCTTTAGAGGTACCATGAAAGATAAGATAGACTACATTTATTTAATTCTGAGTTAATAGACTTTGAACTTTCACTATAAAATAAAGTATTCAAAAGGTGCTGATGGTATGTAATATTTTTTGTCAGAAATGAATTCCAGCCTGCATTTCCTCAGGTCACTCAGGAAAAGATATTCAGAGCTGTCTTTGGTAGCAAAGAGCACACAGGGTAACATAAGAGCAAATATATGTTATTAACTGTGTCAGTATGAGTTTCTGAAGAAGGTTCTCATACCATTCAAAGACATATTGTAAACAAAATAAAAATCATTCATAATTTTCTTAAATATTTTCAAATCTTATATTTTTTGTGCCTCTAATTATTCTTACCAATAGCATTTGATTTAAGAGATGTAACAGATACTTCTGATCCAACCAAACCAAAAAGAAGGGGTTGAAAAATATACCATACAGTTTTAATAACTCTTTGGACTCTAATCTGTAGAAAAGAACAATATATTTTTAGTTATTGTAACACATGAAAATGATTACATTTTAGAAATTAAAGTCTTAATATTTATTGAACTTAAGATATCTTATTTGTAGATGAAATGTTAAAGTTTAATAAAAATTGAGTAGGTGAATTGTTTTAGTCAAACACTTAAGTAGAATTTGGTTAAAAAATCTACAAAGCTGATAGCAACATTATTTACAATAGCCAAGTTACGGAAGCAGACCAAGTGTCCCATCGATTGATGAATGGATAAAGAAGATGTGGTATGTATACACACACACACACACACACACACACACACACACACACACACAGGAATAGTATTCAGCCATAAAAAAAGAATGAAATCTTGCCATTTGCAACGACATGGATGAAGGTAGAGAGCATAATGCTAAGTGAAATAAGTCAGAGAAAGACAAATACTGTATAATTTCACTTGTGTGGAATTTAAGAAACAAAGCAAATGAGCAAAGAGAAAAAAGAAAGAGAGAGAGAAAGAGAGAGACAAAGAAACAGACTCTGAATTATAGAGAACAAAGTGATGGTTATCAGAGGGGAGGGGAGTGGGCGGTGGGTGAAATAGGTAATGGGGATTGAGGAGTATACTTGTGATGAACGTTGAGTGATATATGGAGTTGTTGAAACAATATATTGTACAACCTGAAACTAATATAACAACTGTATGCTAACTAACTGGAATTAAAATAAAAACTTTAAAAAAAGAAGTAAAATAGAAATAAATGTTCCTTGAAACTGGAAAAAAAATCTACAAAGTTACTCAATAAAAATATTTGGTAATCTTGTCATGAAACAAATAAGGTTTTGGAGTTCCAGACATGTTCTGATGTTTCAGTAAGAACCCTAGCTTTTGTTTGTAAGGTAACGGAACAAATACAGAACTAGCACTACCTCATGCCTGGTAAGAACGTACTCAAGACTATGCAAACATTTCAGCTCTCAAAAGGGAGTTTATAAGGCCTCCACTAACAATTATCTTGGGACCCAGGCCCATGAAAGTGAATCTTGATATGTTCTAAGCTACTAGGCAAAAAATGTCAGTAATCTGTCAGGCCTGCTTCCAAAGGACACATGTTGAAAACTTCAAAGTTATTTTTTCCTGAAAACAAAACCAAACCCATATAATACAGACTCTTATTTGGTTGCCTGCCTGGCTTTCCTTTCTGAGAATGAACCCTTCCCAGTGCTACTTCTCCAGTTATGTGGTTACAACAAAGTCCCCTACTGATGCAACAGTACCCTGGCTCATTTCAAGGAATCTGGATGAAGAGATTTGAGTTTCAGTCTGGGCTTATCTTTTTTTAAAGACACATAAAACCTTCATATCCTTTGTATTGGGTATAAACTATATTCCTAACTATTCCCCTTATGACTGGGCTTTCTGATTTATAAAAGTAAAGTTTAAAAAAGGAAAAAAAGAAAAACAATTTTACTCTTTCTTCTTGGTGGCACAGTATCCTAGTTGTTACTTTTAATTTTTAAAACATATTCTTTACTGTTTGATTTCTTTTATCATATAAAAAAGAATTTTAGTAATTTTCATTTTATTTATTTAATTGTAACTTATTATTAACCATTTAATTTATTTTACAGTTATGATACTATTGCAATACTAAACAAAATGTTAATATAATTTTGGGGTCAGGAACTTCTCAAGCTGATTCTAAAGTTTATCTAAGAAAGAATTTGTGTAAGAGCAGTCAAGAAATACTTTAATCCCATTTACAGTTGCACCAAAAACCATAAAATACCTAGGAATAAGTCTAACCAAAGAGGTGAAAAATCTATACGCTGAAAACTATAGAAAGCTTGTGAAAGAAATTGAAGAAGACACAAAAAAATGGAAAAAATTTCCATGCTCCTGGATAAGAAAAAAAACTATTATTAAAATCCCAATACTACCCAAAGTAATCTACATATTCAACGCAATCTCTATCAAAATAACACCAGCATTCTTTACAGAGCTAGAACAAATAATCCTAAAATTTCTATGGAACCAGAAAAGACCCCGAATAGCCAAAGCAATCTTAAAATTTTAAGAAAACCAAAGTAGGAGGCATCACAATCCCAGACTTCAAGCTATACTACAAAGCTGTAATCATCAAGACAGTATGGTACTGGCACAAGAACACACACTCAGATCAATGGAACAGAATAGAGAACCCAGAAATGGACCCTCAAACGTATGGCCAACTAATCTTTGACAAAACAGGAAAGAATATCCAATGGAATAAAGACAGTCTCTTCAGCAAGTGGTGCTGGGAAAACTGGACAGCGATATGCAGAAGAATGAATCTGAACCACTTTCTTATACCATAAACAAAAATAAACTCAAAATGCACGGAAGACCTAAATGTGAGACAGGAAGCCATCAAAATCCTCAAGAAGAAAGCAGGCAAAAACCTCTTTGATCTTGGCTCCATCAACTTCTTACTCAACACGTCTCCGGAGGCAAGGGAAACAAAAGCAAAAATGAACTACTGGGACCTCATCAAAATAAAAAGCTTCTGCACAGCGAAGGAAATAATCAGCAAAACTAAAAGGCAACTGACAGAATGGGAGAAGGTATTTGCAAATGACATATCAGATAAAAGGTTAGTATCCAA